GGATAGATGACCCAGTGGCTTCTTCAACGAGTACTGAAAATGAATATTCGGAGGAAGCTGTCCATTACGCATACTAAAAATGATTATTCAGTGTAATTTATTGAACGGAGGGACGTAAGTTAGGAATAACATAAATATCTATCAAAATTTTCAAAAAAATTATAAATTATTTCTTTGGATTGCAGATATCAAAGAAATATATGTCAAATTATTCACAAATTCTTCACAAATTTCAAAAAAAAATATAAAATCTTCACAAAATTTCGAAATGCCGTGCCACGCTGCCGCCATCGATGTCAACACCGGGGAAGGCATAGCGTCCGGCCTCGGTTGGTACTGCGAGATATGGTTCTGCCACTTCTGCTGTTGCTGCTGCTGCAGCGGCTGCGTGGGCATGAGTTGCTGCAGCTGCTTTATCATACGAGGTCGCGACATGACTTGTCCCTTTCATACGTACAGAAGGCAACAAGTAAAGTTAACCAATCTAATAATAATAAAATGGGTGACCGATCACTTGCGTATGTACACATGCATGACTTCACAATGACTTGGGTCACTTCCTAAATAAAACTATTCTTTTTTTTAAATAAAATTTTGCTGAGATCGATGGATGGATAGATGACCCAGTGGCTTCTTCAACAAGTACTGAAAATGAATATTCGGAGGAAGCTGTCCCCTACACGTAAGCTGTCACCCTCGTCATTACGCATACTAAAAATGATTATTCAGTGCAATTTATTGAACAGACTGATGTAAGTTCGGAATAACAAAAATATATGTTAATTTTTTCAAAAAAAAATTACAAATTATTTGTATGGATTTCAGACATCAAAGAAATATATGCCAAATTCTTCACAAATTTAAAAAAAATACAAAATCTTCACAAAATTTCAAAACGCCGTGCACACTGCCGCCACTGACGCCGACACCGGGGAAGGCGTAGCGTCCGACATCGGCTGGTACTACGAGATATGGTACTGCCACATCTGCTATTGCTACTGCTGCTGGAGCGGCTGCGTTGACATGAGTTACTGCAGCTGCTTTAACATACGAGGTCGCGGCATGACTTGTCCCTTTCATACAGAAGGCAACAAGTAAAGTTAACCAATCTAATAATAATAAAATGGGTGATCGATCACTTGCGTATGTACACATGCATGACTTCACAATGACTTGGGTCACTTCCTAAATAAAACTATTTTTTTAAAAAAATAAAATTTTGCTGAGATCGATGGATGAATAGATGACCCAGTGGCTTCTTCAACAAGTACTGAAAATGATTATTCGGAGGAAGCTGTCCCCTACACGCATGCTGTCACCCTCGTCATTACGCATACTGAAAATGATTATTCAGCATAATTTATTAGACAGAGTGATCTAAGTTGGAAATGACACAAATATATGTAATTTTTTTAAAAAAAATTATAAATTATTTCTATGGATTCCAGACATCAAAGAAATATATGTCAAATTATTCACAAATTTAAAAAAAATACAAAATCTTCACAAAATTTCGAAATGCTGTGCCACACTGCCACCACCGACGCCGACACCGGGGAAGGCGTAGCGTCCGGCCTTGTCTGGTACTATGAGATATGGTACTGCCACATCTGCTATTGTTGCTGCTGCTGCAGCGGCTGCGTCGGCATGAGTTGGTGCATCTGCTTTATCATACGAGGTCGCGGCATGACTGGTCCCTTTCATACAGAACGCAACAAGTAAAGTTAACCAATCTAATAATAATAAAAAGGGTGATCGATCACTTGCGTATGTGCACATGCATGACTTCACAATGACTTAGGTCACTTCCTAAATAAAACAATTTTTTTCAAAATAAAATTTTGCTGAGATCGATGGATGGATAGATGACCAAGTGGCTTCTTCAACATGGCTTCTTCAACATGTACTGAGGCTCCGTTTAGTTTCCCTCCAAAATCTAAAAATTTTTATGCAGTAACCGTCACATCAAATCTTACGGTACATGCATAGAGTACTAAATGTAGACGAAAAAAAATTAATTACATAGTTGACCGAGAAATCGTGAGACGAATCTTTTAAGCCTAAATAGTCCATAATTGAATAATTTTTATTAAATATAAATGAAAGTGCTACAGTAGCCAAAAGCTAAAAATTTTCGGAACTAAACACGCCCTGAAAATGATTATTCGGAGGAAGCGGTCTCCTACACGCATGCTGTCACCCTCGTCATTATAGCCGTAGCCTAGCTGTGCGCGCATGCAGGGGATTTAAGGCTGTGTTTATTTGGCGAAATAAAAATTTTTAGATGTCACATTGAATGTTTTAGGAATGTCGGAATGGGTTTTTGGATATTAATAAAAAAAATTAATTATATAGCTCGTCCAGAAACTACGAGACGAATTTATTAAGCCTAACTAATCCATCATTAGCGCATGTTAGTTACTGTAGCACTTATGGTTAATCATGGACTAATTAGTTTTAAAATATTCGTCTCGCGATTTCCAACCAAACTGTGCAATTAGTTTTTTTCGTCTATATTTAATAATTCATACATGTGCCACAAAATTCGATGTGATAGTTAGAGTGAAAATTTTTGAGAACTAAATCAGACCTAAATGCGCGGGATTTGACCACACGTGGTCGCAGGCTAGGCTAGGCTGTCACACCAGTCACGTCGGCAGCACGGTGTCGTGTTCCGTAGGACAAGCAATAATGGTTCTGTGGTCAGCGGGAGTACTGCCGCACCATTTTCTAAGACGCGTCGTTATCACGTTAAGATCGGTGGCGTGATAAATCCTATCACGTCATCAGTTAGCGTCTCGGTCGTCGCCACGTTATCCCCTCGTCACGCCACCATACATGACGCAGCACATGTATTTTGCCACGCCAGAAAAATAGACGCGGTCAAAAGTGTTAGTTTTGAAAAAAAAATAAACAGTGTTAGATTAGAATTAATTTAAAAAAGTGTTAAAATAAAAAAAAATTATCTGTGAGCGTAGGCCTGTTTGGAACCGGATTTTTCACGGTGGCAGCCGATAGCATTGGAGAATCCCGCTAAACGCGTGGCCATAAGCTCGATTCTCGTCATTGCAGCAGGCTCAGTCAACGCTGATTTGAACTAACGATAGAATTTTACGTATTGCAAGTCGCTGGCCGCGGCTCGCACACCGCGCCGTGCGGTCGGTAAATGTGGTCCCAAACAAGGCCATAACAAAAGTGATGAAACTATGAAAAACCAAAACCACTTATACTTAAGAACAAAGGCAGTGATATTTATAATGTGTAATAAATATTATTAAATTATAGAAAAAATATATTTTTATAGTATATATACTTTGATATTGTTCTTCTATAAATATATAGTAAAGAGTACAATGTACGTAAGGTCCTTAAACTTTTAAGACATTTCTATCTAGGTCCTCCAACTAAAACAGCTTCCATCCAGGTCCCTAATCTAATGTTATCGTGCACCTAGGTCCAAAATCAGCCACACCAGCGCTAGTATCTGACGACTGACCGTGGACTTGGCACAGTGGCAGCTCGACACTGTAGCAGCGCGCGAGCAGGTGAACGCGCGGGCAAGCTGCAACCCGTCGCTGGACGCGGCTTGAGGCGCTGTTCGCGCACATGTGGAAGCTGCTCGCCGCGGCCGTGGGCAAGCTCGACGCGCACTGCCCGCATGGACGCGGCTTGCCGACGCCGTGCTCAATTCGGCGAGCGCTGCGTGGCTCGGGTTCATGTTTGGCTACTGACATGTGGTACTCGTCCGGGCGCACGTCATTGTCGAATCGAAACCAAACACAGAATCCACAAACCAGTGAGAACCAGAAAGATGATCGAGAAGCGACAAGGTCAGAAATGAAATGGGCTGTTGCCGATGAGCAGAGCAGACGAGAGGAAAGAGAGCAGAGCAGACCGTCGAGGGAGCTGCCGTGCGTGCGGAAGAGCTCGACGCGCAAGGCGGCGGCCTTGTCGCTTGTCAACCGAGACGCCGAGCATGGCCTGGAGGAACTCGTCGATGTTGTGCTGGAGGGCCGGGCCGATGCTGGTGTTGTCTCGGGTACAGGGTGTCGTCGAGGTCTGGACGGAGCGCTCGGGCCATAATAAAATCATCGACAGCAGCAATCGCCCTGGAGTCCGTCCTGGACTGCGAGCCAGTGATCGACGCTTACCTAGGAGGACGCAGTCGAAGGGGGAATTTGCGGCCATGGAGGGCGGCTCGGGTTCGGCGCGCCTGATCCGGCAGTCGTGATGCAGCTGGGAGTGCCTCGCGCTCATGTCCGGCTCCGTCGCGGCGTCCGTCGAGCACGCGTGCGCTGCACCTGCTCTACCCCGGACGTGGCGCGGGAACAAATCCGGCAGCAGGACGGCGTCAAGGTCCGATTCCGAGCCGCGGCGGCATGAGCTGCAGGCGGGGGCGAGGAGCTTCATGGTGGACCACGGCGGCGGGCAAACCAAACACCCCCTAACTATATTATATATAAATGTGATGGGGACTAAAAAATTAGGAAGGAAACCAAACACCCCCTAACTATATTATATATAAATGTGTCCCTCTACATACATATATAAATTCGGTACGGGGAAGCACACAGATGGTATCATATCTCGGTAGTCTCATAACAACCGTGTTTAAGCTTGTCCAGAAGGAGGTTTTGTTGAGGCGCGGTAGAGGACCCCGCCGGCCATGTGGAGGCTAAAGATCGGAGAGGGAGGAGGGCCATGGATGCAGACGGTGAGTGACTTCCATGGCCGGCAGGTTTGGGAGTTCGACCCGGACGCCGGCACCGACGAGGAGCGCAGCAAGGTGGAGCAGCTTCGCCGGACGTTCACGGAGAACCGCTTCCGAAGGAGGGAATCGCAGGACCTCCTCATGCGTATGCAGGTTTAAATATAAATAAAGAATGTATTTTATAAAAGCTAAGTAGGCTCACCTTACGCTACGTATGAAGGTATGATACAGTTGTTAGACTGTTGTTGATGCTGCTTCTATATTGCGGTACGTGTGATTTGATGGACAGTTGACTGGAAACAAACATCTGCATGCGGATATGCCCGCCGCCACCAAGATAGAGTATGGCGACGAGGTGACGGAAGAAACTTTGCAGGAGTCGCTGAGACGAGCGCTCGGTTGGATGTCTGCTCTCCAAGCCGAAGATGGTCACTGGCCTGGTGACTTCAGTGGGATTATGTACCTAATGCCGTTCTGGGTTCGTATTAATTCCTGTGTCTCGTCGACGATTGCACTTGCTCAGTTAGTTGGCTCCTAGTAGTACATGCTTGCCGACCTTCTTCGGCTGTGATTGCTGCAGCATGCTGCTGCTGCAGCATTCACTCAGAGCATCAACAGTTTTTCATGTACAAAATAAAAAACTGCAGCCAAATTCACTGTATAAAACTTGCAGCCAAATTCACTCGTGCTACCTACCTGTCGTAATAATAACGTCATCTTTTGTTTTACAGATTTTCGCACTGCACATCACAGGATCGGTCGATGCTGTCCTGTCGAAAGAGCATATACGTGAGATATGCCGCCATATCTACAACCATCAGGTACCTACAACCACTATTTTTGACAATATTGTTACTCCTGTATACTTCTTCCGTTCCAAATTATAAATCGTTTTTATTTTTTCGATACATTCATTTTACTATACATCAAGATATAATAATATGTCTAGGTAGTATGCAGACATATTATTTTTCTAGATGCATAACAAAATAGATGTACCAGAAAAGTTAAAATAACTTACAATTTGGAACAGAGAGAGTATAATACTAGTATATATACAATAAAAAGACGCACGCGAGCACGTCCTGTCCTCCCATCACACCAACTCCACCAAGCATATTTATTTTTTTCACGACCATACCCAAGCACGTTTTTAACTCACCATGCATATTTATGCTCAGAACGAGGACGGCGGATGGGGCTTCAATATTTTGGACGAGAGCGCTATGTTTTCCACGTGCTTAAACTATACCACCTTGAGGCTTCTCGGCGAGGTACAAAAGGACGAAAACGATGGACTAGCTAAAGGTCGAGCATGGATCCTATCCCATGGAACTGCAACTGCAGCACCACAGTGGGCAAAGATATTACTCTCGGTATGACTCACAGGCATAGTAAATAATAATAACATGCTTTTATATTTGTGTTATTCTAATATGAGTACCTAGGCAGTCCTGTTAGAGAGTAAACCGGCCCATGGGCCTGCCGACCCAGGCTTCCCACCATGCCTATATGTATGCGCTGATTTTCCTTGAGTAATACATCGAGTATTCTCTCATTCACACTCTCCCGTGGTATGAGAGAGTAATATGTGGTCAGCAGAGTATCGCTCGCCCGTGCCCGCTCTGCCGCAGCCGCGCGTGACCACTGACCCGCTCGCTCCAGCACGTGCGCTCGTTCGCCCGACCGCGTCGCCCTCCCGCTCGCTATGCGCTGCCGCCTCGGACCGATCCCATCACGCGCATCGCGCGGCGCCCACCCCCCAGCCCGTTAGCGCGATCCCCGCGCGGACTCTTCCCGCCCAGCCGCGAGTGGCCCCAGCCCGTGCGCGCGATCCCCGCGCGGCTTCTTCCCTCCCAGCCGCACGTGGTCAAAGCCTCGCCCAATCCTCTCCCAGCGCACCGCACGATCCCCGCGTGGCCCCCGCATGCGAGTCATCGCTTGCTCCTCCCCGCTCCCCTTCCCCGTGCAACCCATTCCACTCACGCCCATCGCGCGGAGCGCCCCCCACCCTAGCCAGCCCGAGCGCGCCATCTCCTGCGCTGCCTGAGCCGCTCGCGATCCCCCACCCACGCCCTCCCGATCCGCGTGTGGACCTCCGCTCCTACCAGCCCGTGCTGCCCGCGTGGCCCTGCTCCACTCGCCACTCTCCCACCCAATCGCTGTTGCTGAGTTTGTCTCCCTCGCCGGCCCCCGATTGTAGTCGTGCACAACTACCAGCGCCGCTCCGCCTACGCTCATCATGTGAGAGACCGACGCCGAGCGCGCCCTCCGCCTCCAGCGCTAGCGCGAGGCCGCGTAGGTCGCCGCTCGTGAGGCCGAGGCTGCCCGCAAGGCTGCCACGAATCGTGCCCCTGCCCTCGACGCCTATGAGGCCCAGCACACCACCGTCCACGCCCAAGCCCTTGCTGTCCTCAACATCAAAGTGCTCGTTCCCGTGGTGTTGGATCGCGCCAGGAACAACTACAGTCGATGGCACACCCTCTTCCTTGTAGTCTTGGGCAAGTCTGCCCTAACCAACCACGTCCTCTCTGACGTGGCCAACATGATTGCTCGGCGTGCGTGCAGATGGACTGCACCGTGCTCACCTGGATCTATGGCACCATCAACGGCGATCTCCAGCAATCAGTGATGCTGCGCAACCCTAACGCGCGCGTCACCTAGACCTTCCTCGAGTCCGAGTTCCTCGGCCAGCGCGAGTCACGCGCCCTGCTACTCTCCGCCGAGTTTCGCACAGCCAAACAAGGGTCGCTGTCAATCACTGACTTCTGCCCGCCCAAGGTTCAATTTACCGGTAGAGAAAAAATACCGGAGGTCACTGATAAACGGGTTTATCAGATTTATCAGAAAATCTATCGGTTTATCATTTTCTTTTTGGACAAAATTAAAAAACACCTTAATTTGCACAGGATAACACAGATTATGTCCAAATCATCTAACATTGAAAAATACACGAGGGGCACCGGTGCAGCAACGTTGGGGAGGGAGACGAGCAGCAAACAAGAAGAAACAGCGTTGAAGCACCAGTGAAGCTCCTGCAAGACCAAGCAGCCTTGGGGAGGGAGACGAGTGGCAGGCGGCGGGCCCAAATTCAAAATGGCCAAAAAATTTGAGCGGTAATTGAAATTACCGGGCCCAGGTGAGAAACGGGATTATCGGAAATCTCATTTTTTTCTCGCTGACATTTTTTCCCCGCTGCCGCCGCCTCCAGACGATGGCCAGTGCCCTCGGCGAGTACGGGGACCCCATCGGCGACTGCACTCTTGTCCTCACACTGCTCCGCGGGTTCAGCGGCAAGTTCCGGCACATGGTCTCCGACCTGAAGATGCAACGCCCCTTTCCCACCTTCGAGGAGGCCCGCACGCTGCTCCTTCTCGAGGAGATCGACATCAACGACGCTGCCGCCGATGCCACTCCGCCTGCACCACCTGCCCTCGTCGCTGCGCCCAACACCGCCCCACGCCCACTTGCTGCCAGTGGCGGCCAGGGCAGCGCCAACGCAGGGCATGGCATCCCGTCTTCCTAGTGCTCCAGTCGCCGTCGTGGGCGCAGCGGTAAACAGCAGGCCGCGCCCCGCCAAGGCTCCGGCGGCCCTCACCCGCCTGTGCCGTTCGCCAATCCGTGGGCTGGCACGGTACAATTTTGGCCGCACTGGTACGGCCCCCTCCGGTCGCCTTCACCACCGTTCCACAGCAGCAGTACCCCTACGTGATTGCGCCATACTTCTACTTCATGCCACCACCACCACTGCTTCAAGGTCCCGACGCATCCGGTCTCGACGCCCCGCCAGGGTTTGGCTACGGGGGCGTTCTGCCCGCTGCCTATGCCGCGCCCCCGCAGCAGCAGCAACAACCCCCCTAGACACCGATGCAAGGGGGTCCTAGGACGCCTCATCCCTTGTCAACAACTTCAGCACCATGTCATTGACGCTGCCGCCCTCGACCGAGTGGTATACGAACTCCAGAGCCGGCTCTCACATGGTCAACACCACTGGTATTCTTTCTTCATCTCACCGTCTCCCGTCATCTGGTCCTTCATCTATCATTGTTGATAACGGAGCCCTGCTTACTGTTACCTCTGTTGGGTCACTCGTTCTCCACACCACGACGACCTTTGTTTCTTTCTAATGTTCTAGTCTCCCCTAGCATTATTAAGAACTTGATTTCTGTCCGTCGTTTTACCACTGATAATAATTATTCCATCGAGTTTGATCCTTTTGGCCTTTCTGTGAAGGACCTACAGACATGAAGCGTGATCGCCATGTGCAATAGCATGGGTGACCTCTACCCATTCTTCCCACCAGCCAGCACTCCTGCCCCTGCATCCACGACCCTCTGGCATTGCCGCCTAGGCCACATCGGTCCTGAGGCTCTGTCCAAGCTCATTAGTTCCAATGCTATTTCTTGTAATAAGCGCCACAGTGATCATATTTGCCATGCCTGTCAGTGAGGCCACCATGTGCATCTCCCCTTTAACATGTCAAACTCTCGAGCGCTTCAACCATTTGATTTAATACATTGTGATCTTTGGACATCTCCAATTGTTAGTGTATCTGGCTATAAATATTATCTCGTCATTCTTGATGATTGCACTTACTGTACCTGGACTTTTCCCCTTCATCTCAAGTCTGATACTCTTGGCGTTCTATCTATTTTTTTCTCTTATGTGCGCACACAATTTGACTCCCATATCAAGGCAGTTCAGTGCGACAATGGCCGTGAGTTCGATCACTCCTCGGCCCGCACGTTCTTCCCGACCCACGGTGTAGTCCTTCACATGTGGTGCCCATACACCTCACAGCAGAATGGTCGCGCCAAACGCGCCCTTCGCACGATCAACAACATTGTGCGTTCCCTTCTGTTTTAGGCTAGTCCCCCCGGTTTATTGGGCTGACTCTCTTCACACTGCCACTTACCTCCTCAATCCTCACCCAACCAAGACTCTCGATGGCCTCACTCCTTTTTTGCCCTTTACGACACTCAACCTTCCTATGTTCACCTTTGAGTCTTTGGCTGCGCTTGCTACCCAAACATGTCTTCCACAGCTCCACATAAATTATCACCTCGCTCCTCCCTGTGTGTCTTCCATGGATACTCTACCGATTACAAAGGGTACTGATGTCTTGACCTCCATTCCAATCGGATCATCATCTCACGACATGTTGTGTTCGATGAGTCGCTTTTCCCATTTTTCGAGATGTCCACCTCCCCTTTGGATCCAACCACACTAGATTTTTTGAGCGATGATGACTGTTCCATTTTGCTCATTGGGCCTGGTGCTGTGCATGCAGGGACTCATCTTCTCGGCGATGCGGCTGCAGCTCCTGGCCCTGTGTGTGCGCCTGCTGCCACCTCAGTGCAACTGCCGCCTCACTCGCGGGTTCCGACGCGCCACCAGCCGGCTTGCCGCTAGCCGCCTCACCAGCGTCAGCAATGCCACCGTCGCCTGCTGTGCCCAGTGCCGCTGCCTCTACGGACTCATCGTCCCAGGCTATTGCCAGCAGCGCCGGGCGCACCATTGGCCGGACGTCTTCCACGACCTCATAGGCCATCGTGCCGGTGATAAATGCGCACAACATGTGCACCCGTGGCAAAGTTGGCATTCGTGCCGCTCTTTCTGACTCGCACCGGCGTGCTGCTATGCAGGCCGAGTTCGATGCGCTGCAGGCTAATAACACCTGGACCTTGGTTCCTCGCCCATCTGGTGTTAATGTTGTTATAGGGAAATGGATCTTCCATCACAAGTTCCTGTCTGATGGCTCACTTGACCGCTACAAAGCTCAGTGGGTTCTTCGCGGATTTACTCAGCGTCCAGGAATTGATTATGATGAGACTTTCAGCCCTGTCGTCACGCCTACTACTATTTAGGTGGTACTCACGTTGGCACTGTCTCGCTCTTGGCCCATTCACCAGCTGGATGTCAAGAATGCATTCTTACATGGGATGTTGATAGAGACAGTATACTGTGTTTAGCGATCTGGGTTTGTTGATTCCTTTAGACCCGACCATGTCTGCCGATTGAAGAAGTCTCTCTATGGATTGAAGCAAGCTCCTCATGCCTGGCATAGTCGCTTCGCTGCTCATATCACCTCCCTCAGTTTTGTTGAAGCTAAGTTTCACACTTCCCTGTTTATTTTCTACCGAGGCGTTGATATGGCCTTCTTGCTCCTATATGTTGATGACATTGTTCTTATGGCTTCATCTACGAGTTTTCTCCAGCACATTATTTCAGCTCTTCGCCAGGAATTCTCTATGATAGACATATGGTCGACAGTCTACCACGGGGTATGCCCACGGTAGTAGATGAATCGGTAGAGGTGTGCGTGATAGGAACCGGATGGTGACACAATCGTAGAGACAGCGATTTAGATAGGTTC